GATCCTCATTTGAAAACATTTGATGAAGAGTTGCAAAAATATGGAAGTTTCTTTTAAACCTAATAAGGGAAAACTTCAACATATTTGGTACTTATTCTTCATTCCAATTCTACCTAATAAAAAAAGTGTTTATGTGTTTTTTCTGTAAATACGAAACACAAGTCAAACTACCTTCACATCATCTACACAACTTCAATGTAGAAACGACCACTTTCCAAATATTTCCAGCTCTGAAAACAAGATAATTAAAAATAACCGCTTCTTATTTGACAGGCCCGAATTCTAAACCTAGCACTTGCAAGTCAAACAAATTATATACGGACTATAAACCAAGAAATTCGAATATTTTCTAAGACCATTGATGATAAGTACTTGGCAATATTCCAAACAGCGTTGTATGGTTAGACAAATTTCAATAAATTAAATAAATTTTTGTCCTTGTCTTTGTTTTGCTATTCAAATCCGTCTAACTTTTAAATAGTTTCTTTTCGTCATAAAGACGCGTCACTCTGGGCAAGAAAAAATTAACATCAAAAAGAACTAAGTTTGAGTATAGGTTTTTAGATCTGCTACACAAACCTTTTTTTTAATTGTCTTTTGAAATCTTTTTACCAATTATGAGATCAATCAGTACTTTATTTTCAAGTTCAGAATTATCTTAAATCTGTGATTTGCGTAAATTATTATATGTATCAATTTAATATCTATATACCATATAATCTTTCAAAAAGCCATTAAGGATACTTAAATGTCAATCATTTATTCTTTATTAAATCAACCTTTTCCATTAACTCTCTCTCCCTGATTAAAATTTCTGATTTTTTCATTGACGTCTGCTGCAAGCGGGTTCTAATATCGTCAGTGATTAATGATAGCTTAATTCTGAACCATAATTGGATATTAAATATAACGAAAGCTTGCTAGCATTGATCGTTGACTAACGATGCTATCGTTAATCAATATTATGCAAAAGTTAAACCTTAGTGTCGGTAATAACGTGTTGGATAGAATTTTCGAAATATATAATATTCTGTTACAGATATTTTTTTATTTCGCAAATTCGTCAATTTTGGCGATATAAAATATACTTGAATTTTCTCGCTAAAAATTTGAGACGTATTAGCTATTACATTGAGTTTGAACTTGAACTTCAATTTTCTTCCAGTAATCCTGAATCTGAACGAAGCCCTAAAACAGCAGATACATGTCGTGTGCCCAATCTAGTAGGATAAGTTGCCTTGAATATGTGTTTTATGACAATCTTTTTCTTGAGAGGTCTCTGATTGCTTTGACTTCAAAGATAAGGTCAATCTTGGACATCATCTCAACTATCACAATAACGTATGTCTTAATCGTAAGGGTTCTTATTTCTGTTATTATACATGCAATAAGTTTCAATGAATATGTATTTTGTATACGTATATATATACATACGTATATTTTGAAAATTTTTATGTGTACATAATATTTTTCTTATTTCATTTTAAGATTTCTTAATAAAAATAATAATTTTTATTTTTCTTAGATGAGAAAAATAAGAAAAAAAGTTTCGTCACAATAACACTATTGCTCTTTCTAAACTACTCTTCTTCAATCTTTCTCCTTATGATGCATTACTGCTTTTCTATATATATAAAGGTATATATATATTGTTTCATCATATCTGTCAAAAAATTTTTGAAATATATCTTGGTATGTTGCGGTTACTACTATCTCAAAATATCATTAATAGATTAGATACGGATATTGAACTTATCACTTTAAAAGTGTATTCTATTGCAAGATTACAGCAATAAGCACGTGTAACAAAATCTTCCACGGATCGGCATTAATTCACTATCAAACATATTCATTGACCAACCTTCAAAGAGCTTAAAATACTGGAAACCAATCTTTAATTTGCTTACGTATCTAAGTATCTTTTAACTGTAAACCGCAATAAAAGCCACAACAACACCACGTACGAGTATCAAATGATTTGACGCTTTCGTGAAGGCCATCAAAACCGAGGTAAAATGGCCAATGTTACTTGGTCAAGTGCAAAACGTTGGCTGCTGCACAAAACATAATCAAGCAAACTGCAATGTGAATCAAAAATGTTTATAACACGTATTTTTTTTATTTGGGTAATTTAAGCCGATTAAGTTTAGAAAATTGCTTAGTAATTAATATAAATTATTTCAAATGATTTTAAAATTCGTTTTAATTTAATTTAATAATTTTTTTTTTTGTTTATTATCTTACAGTTTACTCAACTGATTTAAAAAAAATTTTCCCACATTGGCGCCGCCTACGAATCTGAATCACACTATGGCTGTCATCACCGATACTGGCAGCAAAACCGAGGACCTAACACTTCAGCAACAAAATGCTAAAAATTTAGCGAACATTGTTACCATACCGGAATTTTATGCAAATAAAAATATTTTCGTTACTGGTGGTACTGGTTTCCTGGGCACAGTTCTATTGGAAGCACTACTCGACACACACCCCGATATTGGCACTATATACGTACTAGTCAGAGGCAAACGTAAATTTGATCCAAATGAGCGCATCAATCGTCTATTACAAAAACCGGTAAACTTATGCCTTTTTTTATATTGTAATATTTTTATTTAAATAATCCTTTAAGATTTTTCTATAAGCGACTATATTTGTACCATATATACTTCTTACAATAAAATAATACTGTTTTTAAAGAAGAGATAGTGCTATATTGCAACCACCATAACATATTTGTATGTACTAGAAAAGTATTTCTTTAATTTTTGAATCTGTTACGTCTGAATATAAGTTCTTAATTAAATCTGTATTCTAACTTCTTCTGGCTGGATGTCTTTCTAATCATTTTAAAGGCATTTTTTTCTTCTTTATTCCATGCGCCAGATAGATTAATTAAAATAGAAACTTGCCTTTAATAAAATATGTGATTTTATTAAGTGTTAGAAATGATGTTGATCCAATAAATTCATTCCCAGTACCACATTAATATCTTTTTCTAATATTTATACTTTATACACCGACACAATGAGCTAATAAATCTGTTTTCGCACCAATATCTTTACCCAACACATACCTTTTATACAGTAATATGGATCCCTGTTATTACATTAAGATTCAATCGGTTATTATCAAATAATTCGTAAGTGCTAGCTTATTGCTTTGAAATAACCAATTAAAAATATGGAACAAAAAAGTGCCAGCTACAAGCACTGAAAAAATAATAATGAGAAAATTTTAGCAAAAAAAGGTTTTGTACAAAATATCTCATTTATGGACTTTATATGTTTAATTTTAAAAAATTCCAACTAGTATGATTCTTTCAATAGACCCGCTGCCTAATTTTATCCCAACAGTACAAAGGATGGTCTCCTGAAAATGGGGACAATTTTTATTCTGGTAATTTCTATGAAATCAGGTCAAACTCGAAGTGATCGAAAACTCTGTGGCTTTTTTCTGTTGTGTCACTTTTTAATTGCGCACTCCTCCACCTGAACCTCTTAATCGCATCTTTCCATACGGAATTCGAGGCCTAGTTTCACATACGCAATGACATGCCAAATTTTGGTGAATTTACTTAATAATTTTTCTTTCTTTTCTCAAGTCTGAGAAAAAACCGTAAACAAATTTGGATTGCTCCTCCACAAATCATTATAAAGACTCATTAAAGTCAATTACATAGGTTTTAATGTTATTTTACAGCGTGTAAATGTAGATTTTATTGTTGTTTCAATTGTGGCTGATTCGTTTTGCTGCCGATCTTTTATGAGATTTTTATTGTCTGTTGCTGCGGTTTTATGAGATGGTTTCGCTCTTATTATGTAATTAAAATTTCAGTTTGTTATTTTCATTTTTTTATTAAATCGTTTTATATGTTGTTAAGTTTCATGTGTGTCATTAGGTCCATAATTATTTACAGTGAAAATTTTACTACGATCGTTCATGATCATATTTTTATGCCACATTTTTTATACAACAAGTTTATGGATGTCATGATTAAGTTTTGAAAGGATTTTTAAGTTAGTAAAGTAATGATAGTAGATAGTTTATAGTAGATAGTTTATGTACCTTAATTATTATTAATTCCTTCAGACTCTACTGATAACAAGGACACAGTATCCGAATTGGTCATTCAAATTCAAAAATTTTTTAA